TCGTCGTCGTCGGTTTGGGTTTGCTGCACGTTCAGGAGCTGCAGGCGGTCGACAAGCTCGTTCGACACCATCCAGAGCGCATCGAGCTCGGTCGACTGAATGCGGTACCGCCCCGCATTCTTGGATACGAGGATCGTGACGTCGACGCCGTTGTAGTATTGAAAGCTCAGCACGTTCGCGGACGACCCTGTGACTTGCTTCGCCCAGTCCGGCGTCGCTCCTGCCACCCATATCGAGTCAAGACCTCCGGCAGGAACGGGCCGCACCTGGCTGCGTCAGCATGTCGTCAAAGAGCTCTGTCAGTTGCGCGGGCTCTTGGTTCGTGTCCAGCGTAAACTAGACCATATATCCCGACATCACGGGATATCTCGGCCGGGGCGCGCCATGTACCTTAAACGTGCTTGCTTTTACGGGCGGGATGAGTCGGCTCATCATGCACATGGGGAGCTTAACTGTGCACAACGACGTTCGGGGCTGGCCGCTCTCGAGTGTATACGCTGCCGAGATGGTGACCTCGAGCGACGACGGCATGACGGTCGCGCTTGGTCGGAGCACGACAGGGATAATGAGTGGCGTGCCAGCTTTGCCGTCGATGGAATCGAGCAAAATCGACGATGGTCCGCATACGATCACGTTGGGCGGCGGCGTGACGGCGACCGTGACGTTGCTCAATACGTTGCTCCCTGTGTACGTCACGTACACGCGCATGGTGAGTGCCACGGGTTTGTGGTCCGGCCCCGTCACAACGTCATCGTCGGACGACACGCCACTGTCGCCGGGGGATTCGTCGCGACCGGTGTAGGCGCGGAGATCGGCTTCCGCGTGTTTCGACGGTGGGTCGAGCAACGCAGGCACTTGAGCGCGCAAGAGGACGCGTTCCTTGGGCTCCGTGCGCCGCTCGCCCTGGGACCGCCGAATAATGTTGAGCAAGGTGCGGTGCTCCTCGTCCATCTCCTCGTAGTTGACCTCTTTTGCATCGGATGCAATCACGGATGTCGTGGGTGGATCTGTGCCAAGGTAGTTTACGTTGAGCCGTCCGTCTTCGTCCAGACTCACAATCATGCCGTCGATGCCCCTGCGAAGCGCCACGATGTTATGTCTGTCGCGGCGGCATGCGCATTTGGCGTACCCAAAGCTCGCCACGGACAGCGCCGTGGACACCGTCGGGGCGACCGCCGACCAAATCAACTGTGCGTCGCGGTAGACCATCCACTGTTTGGCGTGCGTGGCGATGATCACATTATCCGTGCTATCCGAGTTGTCACCTAAGTACATGCCATTCACTTTCAGAACCCACACTTTATGCAGAAAGCATACATTTGGGGCGGTTGTACAGACAAAGCGACGACGGGTGAAAGCCCAAGCGTTTGTGAAAGCAAATGTCCCCGCCCGGCGTCACACAGAAGAGAGAAAACTCTCCCAGCACGACCACGTCAAAGCTGCGCGCTCGTACCGCCCAGTGGAATTTGCCCGTGCGAATATCGAGCACCGACTCGCCTGGGACAGCCAAGCGGTCAACCCGTGGTCGAGTCAATGGCAAGTTGACCACGTACCGATGTTTGTACGCCATTCAGAGTGCAGCGCCTTGGCGGCAGTGACCCCCTTGGCATCCTTTATCCCATCGTCGTGCCCAGGTTTCTTTTTGAGCACCATCGACGTCGCCATGACTTGGTACCTACGACGTAATTGAGTCGACACGAAGGGGATGGCATTTTGATGGACGAACGGCGACCCACCGATAGCATTCGACACTCATATCTGATGTGGCGGTGATGAGCGAGTCGGTGGGGGCTGCGTAACACAGAGCACCGGGAACAAGGCAAGTGGGTAGTTGTTGCATGAAGCTAAATCGGTCCTAGTCCACCAGTTCTAGTGGGTGCCACGTTGACATGTCATGGGATGGAAGCACCTGCTCGAAAAATTGGAGACGACCGTCCAGAGACTGCACACAAATGTGATCTTTCTCGGGGGATTTACCAAACCCACCCATTGTCATGTTGAAAGCTGTGAAGTGCTCGCCGTCAAGACCGAGAGGGTGCTCGTACTTCTTCGTCAGTTTGAAGTAACTAGCTGCCATTCCAGAGCCACCAACGCCGTCCAAGCAATACACAGCAAGGTGTTTCGGGTGTAGCACGGCCATGCCCACGTTGGTTGAATGGCTAGCCATTGCAAGCATCAGCGGGGCTGCCTCCGAGCACATATAGGAAAGATACGTACGGCACGAATCTCCCAATTTCAACTTGCAGGACAGGGTACTCGAGCTGCTCTTCCATGAGAAGGTGATCAATCTTAAACTCGCCTTGAGTGGGGTAGTACACTCGAAGGATACCGTTGAGACTCCCAACGACAATCTTGTCATGCGGCGTCGGATCATTGTCGACGTTCCCCACGGCCAACGCGCCATATGTGTACTCCTCGGTATTCCCACTCGCCACCGTCCACCATTCCCGCGCCTGGAACAACGACATCCGCTCACAAGATCTTGGAATTTCTGGTGTGATGAAAACTGCGACGCTTCGGTTGAACACCCCGATCGAATTACCTACATCCATCGACGTGATTGGATATTTTCTGACGAGAAAATCACAATGATTGGACAAAAATTTCCCTCGCCAACCAACCTCTAAACAAATATCCGACACACTCAATGAGCTACTTGTTCCGCGTTTCCCTGAGCAAAATTGAGTGATGAACGTGGCCAGGTCGCCCCAAGGGTGGCCAGACGTTGTAGATCCTTGACGTGAGGTCAAATGCAATGGCACGCAGTGCGTTCACAGGTCGAGTCAAAAATGTTTTGTATTCGTTGCGATTTTTTGTGCAACCTGATTGGTGGAGCATTGACGAATCAGAGCAGTTCCCCCACATTTTGTGCGGCATCATCGCCGAGGAGGTTCATGAAGAGTCGGGTGGTGCTCGTGGCCGACGCGGACAAGGAGTGGCGTGACGCGAAGCTCTGTCGCTTTGTTCGAGACGCCGAGGAGAACCCTATTTTGACCTTTACCAAGTGGAATGGCAAGACAGGGCGGTCTAGATGGCTTGCTATTCGTGGCCACCAACTGTGCGAAGTCCAGCGGATCGACGACATCCGCAGCTTGTTTGCACCGCGAAACGTTGTCGTACAGGGTACGTGCATGCCATAACCACCTATTCATGGAAGCGAGAAGACGACGGTTGATTGTGACAGACGGCAGTCTACTGGTCGTGACGCCCATGGATCCACTCTTCCTCTTGTTGGAGCAACTTGCACATTGGACACGCAATACTCAGTTCTGCGCCTTGCACGGTAAAATCAGTCCCTCTTTGCCTTGTAGCAGCTCTGTGTTGACGATTTCGAATAACATGGCCACGTAGACATCATGGAGTCATGCGGGATTCCGTTGCATGGTATTTCCCGATGGAATGCCTCTGCAATCTCAAATCTCTGCGACATCGATGGAAGCGACGACAGATTGGATATCCTCTGCGTTCGGCGAAATGATACCAAGATCACAGCGTGGCTGCGGAAAAAGGTTGATCGCATTCAGGCCCTTGGGGTGGCGCCGACAAGGTCAAGTTCAAACGATTGCACCACGGTCGAACGATTCCAACGTCCACCAGACGAGGACACTACAGCACCAACACAGCCGAATACAGAGGCAATGACGCGGTCCTTTTCATGCTGGCGAGCTGACTTGGCAAAAAATCTCTTTAGATCGATGCCGACGACAAGCACCGAGCGCTGCAGACCGCGATTTCCATCCTGTCAGAGTACTTGGACGAGTGCTGGACTCAGTTGGTTGTGGCGTCGTATGGGTAAAACAACTCACGTCGGTCACTGTGCTTGCTTGAATGCTTTCCGTGCATCTGTGACGTCGTGTAATGGCACTGCTAACTTGGAGTGCAGGTTATCCCCCACCGAGTGGCTGAAAAAAATCAAGACCAAGGGTGTCGTTGCGGGACCTAGCGACATCGCCGCCAAGTACGATGCTCGACAACAATCCGCGACGACGCCCGCAAAAAGACCTGCTCCTGCGTCAACCAAATCAACGTTGACCAAAAAGAAAACGCCCCCAGTCACCGGCATGAAGTCCATCGCATCATTTTTCGGAAAGTAATGACGTCAAGAAAGCTCCGCCGGATCGCCTGAAAACTCTTGCGAACTGTGCATTGCTCGTTAAGCTCAAGCAATTCAACATGGTGGTTCCGTAGGAGTTTCGTGCCAAATGCCTGCATGGTTCACATGCATGATCGTTGGGGTAGATCGAGTCTTGACGGCGGGGACGTAAGACGAAAAATTACGAACCTGCTAGGAAAGTCCTGTTCGCGACGTCTTCACAGCCTGTGATTGTATCAGATTGGCCATGTGGTTGGCTTTGTGTTAACGAGCACGCTACGTCACCCAAGGAGGTTTGCACTTGTCCTTTGGCCATCGCGCATTCGTTTATGCCTTTACGCAATCGTCGACATGCTGTGGAATGCAGCGTCGGACGCCAGGGAAGTTCATTTAGACGGGGAGATTGCTTCTTCGAAGCGACACGCATGCGAATCCGTGGCGAGGCGCACTCGACCTTCCCATGGTTTCGCACTCGAATCACATGCAGCCAGCTTGTACGCTCTCGACAGCTTCGTCGTGTCTTCGCTGGCATGCTTCCACGCAATGCTGCATTCATTGCGTCGGTCGGGAGGATCTCGCAACTCGAGGCGCGAACGTTCAAGATCATTCTCTGGCATACACGACGGTGGTATGTAGGACCTACTGGTACGTACTTGCAATTTTCTAATACTTGTCGAGAAAACCGAATACGACGAGATTTTGGCCATATTGACAGAGCCAAAACGAAACTTGGGATTTGTATACTCAATCCCATCTGAGGACTTCACGTGAATGTAGGTAAGGAAGGATGCTGAATTCCTTGTTGTCGTGTGGGTTCTTGTTTGCCAGTCTTGCAATCGCCGTCAGCGCCTCACATCATCATCGTCGCCCGGATGCAGAAAGCTGCTGCCTTGAGCATCCTTTGCCATGCCCTCCTTGATAAGAAGATGGAATTCTGTCGCGTACACACTGTGTTTGCGGCCAAACAACTCCTCCACGCCCAGGCGCTCGTCGACGAGTGCCAAGAGCGCCTCGTCGTGCTCGACGAACTTCTCTCAGACTTGTATGACAACGAACACGATGTCTCGGGAGAAATCGGTGCCATGCTTGACGAACAAGCTCAAGAAGAAGCGACCTACCAAACTCTCACAGCGGCCGTTAGCGCGCACAAAGCACTCCTCCAACGACTTGTCCACAAGAAAGTTAGGTTGGAGGCTTGCAGGAAAGGTATCCTCCAGCGCCAACGCCGACTTGTCGAACGTGCCTTTCGCATGCAGGTAGCCCAGACTCCCGCCGAGTTATTGGCGCAGTCTATTTAATGAGGATGGCACGACGATGCCCATGTGACGGCAACGGCGGCGACAGAAGACGTCGGCAAACAGAGCAGTATTAGACCGGATACACGTTTTTTGCTTGTGTTATCCGGAATTTGTGAATAGAGAAAAATCAAGAAAAATCTCAATATACTCTATAGATTGAAGTATTTTCACCGCATGATTGACAGCTCCAGCCTGACGTGGCTATTGCAAGTCGCTGCGACGTTGCCACGGCCAGAGAAGCGGGCGTTGAAAGGTATACTCCAGTGACGACGATGTGTCGGGACGGCCACTGCATGATATCGTATTGGCAGAGATGCTCCTTCGCCAAGATGCTCGATTGAACTCGATGCAATGTGTCGACGATGTCCATCGCGTCGTAACAATCGCCGCAGGTAGACTCGTCTCCGTCTTTTCTGCATGATGTGCGCAATAGAACACTGAGTGACGTGACGTTACAGTGAGCCATGCGTTCAAAGCATGGTATTCCCTGTTCGATGCGCTGGCCATGTCGACGGACGCGGCCTGCCATCTCGAACAGAACAACCAGACCGCCGACCACGACGTACCGTTGTCAGCTTCGTTGACGTACGGCGAAGTGGACTTTTTTGGGATCGCATCCCTCCTAGCCATACTTCGACCACGCCCTGGTCAGGTACATTCACCGGCTCTTGCAGCGATACGTACTTCCCTATAAGTCAGACATTTTGCGATTTGGGGCATGGCACCGGCCGTGCAATCTTTGCAGCGGTACAGCGACGTCTATGTAAAGCACATTGCTGACAATCCCAAACCGGCCAGGCGACGTTGTATCCCGAGCTCCGCCTTATGGGGATCGAGTTGGTGCCATCGCTGTACCACGCCTCACGTCGAGCCTTGGACAGCTATGAAATGCCGCATCCGCAACACATCCAACTCGTCCATGGCGACTTGACAACGTTTGACTGGTGGTATGCACAGCCCAGCCTTGCTGCGATCCACTGAGGTGGTCGACGTGCCGCAGGAGTTGCAGCGACATTGTGTTTGTCAATGCGACGGCATTTTCGGCAGAGCTGTGGAACACTGTTCAACTGCTGGCGCTTCGTTTGCAGCCTGGTGCGCTCTTCGTCAGTCTCACGCATGTATGCCCCATCTCGTCTTGCCGCTTCGTTCAGAACGAAAGCTGTGATGTTTTCAGTCGCATAAATCCCCGAGACTGGATGTAGAAAGTGCCTGGCGAAGGGTTTGAGCCTGTGCTGATGGACTACCCCGTTGCTACCAGCTGGGGCTGTGAATTGGCCTATGCCTACCAACGCCACTGAGAGGCCGGTTCCACGAGTTCCGTCACGAGCGTCCACCGTCATGGAAAGGTTGGCCTGGTCCGAACGAAAAGGCTACTGGTAACATGGTCCACATCCGTTGTCCGATGTAACGTTATGGTCTTGGTGAATAGTATTCGACTTAAGATTCGATGGGTGGTGACATTGTCGGATTCGCTAAGTTGGGGGACGTCGGCGCTGCACTACTCGCCTGCGATCTTCGACTGATCTTCACACCACGACAAACGCATAGCAGTGTCGTCGCCAGGTTGGTGCGACGGGCCAAACTTGAGCGCCTGCATGCACAACACGTCAGGTTGTGAAAACGACTCGTTGGCACTGTGTACCTTTTCACCAGCATATCGGTCCGCAAACTGAACGTACGCGTCGTTGTCCACGAGGCGCACCTTGGAGATGGCGCCGTAGGTAGCGAAGTGCTGTGTCAGCGCAGCCACGTCTCGCAATGCTTCGGGCACGTTTGTCACTTGGACCACCTTGGTTCGATTGTCAATCGATCCACCGCCTCGTCGAAAGGCTTTGGCCTTCGCTTCCAGCTGACTGAGCTCTGCTTGGAGAGTCGCCAGCGGCGCGTGCGCCGGAGGCGGCGGAGGCTTGACCAAGGCGTCCAATTGTGCTTTGAGGTCATCAATCTTGCTGTCCATTTTGGCTTGCTCTGTGTCGGACAGCATTCCCTTGGACTTCATCTTGTCTCGGAGCAGTTCGTGCTGCGTGAGTTGATTCTGGAGCAACGTTTGCCTTTGTTTGAGCAAAGCCTTTTCTTGTTCGACGAGCTGCCGCTTCTCCTCGAGAATTTTCTTGCCCGTCTCAAGTGCCGCAGCGCGGAGGGCTTCGGGCGTTTGGTCTGCCTGTATGTCGATCTGACCCAAGTCTTTCGGGGACCGTTTGGCGAACTTGACCGCGATGAATCGGTTGTTGCACACGGGCATCGGCGAATGGAATGCCTTGCGCGCGGCCTCAGCCGTCGCAAACTGGACGAAAGCGGCCTTGAATTCGGGGCGCATTTGAACATTCACGACCTCACCGAACCGGCTAAAGTGACCGCTGAGTTTGACCATGTTGATGAATTTGGCGTCTACGTTCTCGACGCGGAGCGTTGTGCTAGCCGCTGTTGGATCCCCGCCGTCTTTATCAGTAGTGGTTTTGTCGGTCGATTGATTCCGGCCCCGATTGTTCCCGCCGCCGTGATGGTGGTGGTGGTGTTGTGGAGGAAAAAAGTGAGGATGCGGGGGGTGCATCGAAGGACTGTCGGGGTCGTACGCATTCGGATCGAACGGCATGTCGGGGTTCAGCATGGGCGGGTACATCGGTCGCGGGTACATTGGCCCCCAACCTCCACTGTGCGGAGGTGGCATTCCCCATGATTGATCATATCGCATTGGACCTCCTCGGTTTCCGCGACCAACTCCGTTGCGTCCTTGCTCGCGACCCCTGTTTTCAAACAGTCAGGTTCAACGAACCGCACAAACTCGAGGTTTGTACCGTGGGTCGCGGTTGTATGGTTGCCTTCGGTCTTGATACCGGTGCGAGTCCCGCAGAGGAGGTGATCGTGACCGAGATCGCGAACGCCGGGGCCGTTTGTTTCTACCCCCGTCGATATCTGCATCAATTTCGTCGCGGCCTCGACGAAGGCTCTGGTCGTCGTTTGGCTGAGGACCACTGCTTCCCGAGGATGTCTGTGGAAGAGGGGTGGAAGCAGTCGTCGCAGCATCGTGTCGCGGCGAATTCTGCAAATACGACTTGCTTCGCAACGTTGCAAACAAGCGATCGACGAACCCATTCGTCTCGTCTCCGAGGAACTCGCGGAGTTTGTTGCGGCATAACTCTTCCAACCCGTCCTTTTCTGGATTCGCTTGCACGAGCGCCAGGACATACTTCGAAAGAACCGATGGTTCCGCATCGCATCTAAGACAGATCGATGAGAAGCCAGGAAACATCGAGAGGGAGCTCATACAGAGGTTCGAGGGTGCGCACGAGCCATTCCCGTAGAGATTCCCGTGAGTCCGCGTCCAGCGCCATCTATCTTTGAATTATGGCCGCTGGTCACCACGGGCATAACCCCTCTATACCTTCATGTCCATTGGCCGGATTTGGACCAATGATCATCGGAGCCCCAATTCTGGGATAATTGCTGGTCAAAGCTATTTTGAAATATTGCTCTGTTTTGAAATTTTCGTTTCGCTTGGAAGCGAAAACTGTGATCATTTTTCCGCGGGCTAACTTCAAGTTGAGATGTCCAATTTCCTCGATAAATGCATCTACCTCTAATTTCTTATATCTAAATTTTCTGAATCTATAAAATCTGTGGGGGCCTTTTACCCCAATCACATGGAATAGAGCGAGATGGATGTACATTGATTGCGATTCCGATAGGTTATACGGAGAAATTGCCAAATGCTGGAAAAGCCTATCGTGAGTCCATGTATAAAAGATTCTGGTTGCCCGGCACACGATAAGCTGTATGACAAGAGAGCCATCTTCGCAGCTGAGTCATCTCTAAATTTGATGAGTACATTTGTCGCTTGATGCGTCGGTTGACTGTCGGAAAGTGCTGATGGCATATCCATTAAAATGGATTAATTCTAAAAATGGATGTAATCCTAAAAATGGATGGATATTGACCCGCATTTTGCACTCTTGCAGTGAGGTTCACAATCTAAGCACGAAATCTAGCACAGTGAATGCGTTTCTACAGGGACCGATGTGCACAATTCTCCATTTGGGAAGAACCAACGCACGCGATGAACACAATGTGAATCAACAACACACGGTGGCACCCATTGACGTGCCTTTATGGCTTGGGTCCGCTGCACCATGCGTTCTGACATGGGAGGGGGCATCCTTCCAAGACAGTTGGTGCCGGGATGACACCCAAACCGACTAGAACTGCTCCAACTTTGTCATCGTGGCGACGTGTAGTCTCAAGATCTTTCTTTTCAGTGTTCCAAGGATGGTCGCGCTTGGTTTCCATCCTCATGCACACGCTTCACCAAACAACGGCGGTTCGCCGAAAGCTCTCCATGTGGAGTTGAATCGATGGTTTTGTCCCAATCGGCACCACGAATGCAACCAATTTTGACCAATGAGATCAAACACGTCGCCATACCAGGGGACGTCGCCACACCAGGGGATGGTTGGCCGCTCTCTCGTGAAAAGAGTCGGGTCGATCATAGCACGTTTGGAGTGCACTCTGCTGCCACGACTGAAAGCTTCACCAGCCCTGCTGCACGACGCGTTCGACCACACACGAGCCATGTCGTCGGTGTCTGTTGCATCTTTTGAATAAAAATACACAATTTGTGCCATAAAAAATGTATGTGATTTTATCACAACGTTGCCGCGCCCAGTGATTGGCTACGTTGTTCCTCCCGTCCACAGAACGTGCCATTGCTCACAAGTTACACATGTTGGGGAGGAGGCCGTGGCGGAGATGGCGTGAGCGTTCTTTGCCCAGACAAGTGGCCATTCGAGCTCAACAGCGTTCCAAACGAAGTGATGGAGAATGCCAACGCCACCCCCGGCGTACACCCGCGCGACAACAGCATCGTTGTGTTATACCGAGAAACGGACTGGATCGGCCGCCCGACGGATCTCAAGGACACCGAGGAGTATGAGCACTCTCTCCAGCGTAGCCGTCGCAATCGCATCATCATCATTGCTGCTACCGCCTTGCTCGTTGTCGGAGCCGCGATCGGTGTCATCGCTGGCACCACCGGTACAGACCAAGCGTCCGTGCAGTCCGCTGACATTGTAGCCACGGTGTCCCCCACGCCTTCGACGACCCTCCCGTTGTCACCGTCCATGAACTCCGACCTTGCTGATTTGCCAGCGGCGTCAAACTCCACGTTGAACGCCACGTCGAACGCCGAAGTGATTGTCGGTGGCACCGGTCTCGAGACAGTCCAACCCACCCCCGAACCTACGACGACCACTCCTGAGCCCACAACCACGCTGGAACCGACGACGACGACGCCTGCTCCCACGACGACGGCACCGGCACCCACGACGACAACGCCTGCTCCAACTACCACCCCTCCTCCACCTACCCCAGCTCCATTGAGTTCCGGTCAGATTCGATACGTGAACAAGTGCAACAAACCGTACACGTTGTGGAAGAGCCACCGCGCCTTGGCCGTGCTCAAACCTGGCGATTCGTATGACACCCAAGGCACGGCCGACGTCAGCGCAGCATACTACTTGTCGGACGACGAATCTGGAAACGCGTCGCTGTTTGAGAACCACTTTGCCAATGACAACTTTTGGTACGACTTGAGCATCATCCCGGTGGGGTGCGGTGTGTCGTGGGACTCGTGCTTCGGCAAGCCCAAGAGTTTCAACGTTCCCGTCAGCGTCCGTGTGTCCAACCCCGGCGGCAACTGCAAACATCTCACTTGCGACTCGCCGTCCTGCACGGACGCGTACTTTGTACCGAGCGACAAACAGACGTGGGTGTGCCCCGGCAGCGTCTCGATGACAGTCACGTTTTGTTAAACCTGTGCTAATATCAAAGCCCTTTCTTCTTGTGTGCAGGCGGCGGTGGTGTTTGTGCTCGTGGAGCTGCTGCTGCGCACACATGCCACACCTCGCTCAACCATGGCTGGCTCTGTAGCATCCAACAAGTTCCAGCGGACACGAGGACGTTCGTGATGTAGTTTGGTCACCAGACCATGTGGATCCAGCGTGCAGCAAACAGTAGTCGACAGGAACGGGGATTTGTTCACGTGCGAGGGTGCAGGATATCGAGGGGGGAGAGCGGCATCATCGCGAGGGGCCGTGCGCCACATCGTGCTGCAGTCCTCCTCGTGCCACACACTCTCTTGGAGTTTGTCTTTCCCTGCGACGTCCTACATGTATGCACCTCGCCCATGTTGGCGGTGGATCGGGGGCATCGGCCCTCGCTGCCCGTGCTGTCCAGGTCGTGCAGAGGGGGTGGGGAATGTCTTGGCTGAGAGACTCTGCACAAGCCCGGGGTGAATCGTAACCACGCCCTTCGAGCACAACAAACCGACGATTTCCCACTGAGCGAATGTCGCCCCCGTCGATCATGGGGACGTGCTGGCTTTGCTCGAACGCAGGAAGATTAGCCAACGCTATATGTCCAGTTGAATACTTTTGATATGGGCAGCCCCACGCACATGATGGCGGCGCAACAGGTAACACGATTTCATCTCGACAACGAACACAGAGATTTCTTACGTAAGAAGCACCCTGGCGTATGAGCGGGCAGATGGCGTGTCCAGGGTGAGAGATGGAATCGTGTGCAGCACCGCCATGGTGTCGGGTAGATGTCATCGTGATGTGAGCCACACGACGGACGTAGCCAGAATCGAAAATCCACCCACACACGTCCCCAAGGGCGTTCTTCGCCATGGTCGACCGAGCCAGCCCGTCCGATTATCCCCACATCGTTCTCACGCCAACCCACGCAACCACACGGGTCGATCCCAACGACTCGCACGAGAAAACATGCCAACGACATCGCCGACACACCACGGCGGCCCTCCTCGCGACGGTGTGTGCGTTGGTGGTTGGCGCTACCGTTGCCATCGCTGTCAAGACCTTGCCCACGACCTACGCCCCCGACCTCAACTCGAGTGACAAGAAGGACCTTGCAAATAGTCCTGCCATCTCAAACCACGCAACAACGATTCCAAGCGACAACACTATGTGGGAGCCCTTGGCACGCGAACCACCGACGTCGACGGATGCCCCTAGCGCGACCATCGCACCGACCGCCAAGCCCACCCAAACGACCTGGACACCTGCTACCGCTGCTGCCACCACCGTTCCAAGTGCTATCCCCACATGGGAGCCTCTGTCACGCGAAATAATTCCGACATCGACAGTTGCTCCAAGTGTCAATGTTGCCACGACGACCAAGCCCACCCAAACGACCTCGACACCTCCAACCACAGCAACTGCTACCACGACTTCAGCGGCGCCGATCACGACGACGACGCTGGTGCCAGCTACTGCTGCACCACCAACAACTACTACAGCCCCAAGATCGAAACCAGTCGTGGCAACCCCCGCCCCTCCTCCGCTCGCTCCACCGGTAACCAAAGGGATGGCGACCGGCATGTTTGTTTTCCAAAACAACTGCGAAACACCCGTCGGCTTGTACCGAAGCCACGCGGTGATCGCATCGCTGGCCCCTGGGGAGTCTCTCCAACTGGACGGGACAAAGCAAGTCGGTCAAATGTTTCACTTTGGGTGGGACTCTGCAGGGGACGCCACGTTGTTTGAGACCACGTTTGGCGCGGACGGACGATTCTACTACGACATTAGCATCATTCCCGTTCGATGCGGAGCGTCGTGGGACTTTTGCACCGGCCCGACGTCGTTCAACTTGCCCATGACGGTGACAGTGCGCCGTGAAGGGGACACCAACGTCGAGGCGTTTCCGACGTGTAAGTCCCTGCAGTGTGCAAGTGCGACGTGCCCCGTTGCGTACAAAGTCCCCAACGACGTCCGAACGATGGTGTGTCCGAAGCAAGTGGCCATGACGATCACAGCGTGCTAACAGATCACACACGGGTTGGATGTATGCTTTCATGGTTTTTTCATGGGGCTGTGGTCGACATGCGATTCGCGCGACAACCGGGGGAGGATGTACAGTCCGTCAAGAAATTATAGACGCACCCCAAAATTTTCCACTTCTGAACTATCTGTGAGGATTGCAGTTGAAACCCCTTCGTAGTTCAGGTCATTATGCTCTCAAACGCCATAGTGCAAAAC